GTTGTTACATATCTGGAATAGCCTGATCTTATTTTTCATTTAATTTGAGTGTTAAAAACCTATATGATATACAACATCTATAATAACCCCATGTGAAAACTCACCTCAATTTTTGGCATTGTAAAGAGCTTAGCAACATTTCCATTCATATGAGCCGTTATTTGGAATTTGTGTTTTCAACGTTTAAAATACCGTGCTGCGTGGTATTTACTTTTGTCCGCCTCATAATTCATAATGATTCCAGAATAGTCAAAGATAATTACTTTTTATTTTTGTCCTTTTAATTGTGCTTTGGAGACCCCATAAAGTCCATATTTTTCATCATAGTATAATTCAATGATAATTAAACCAATGTTCGGTACCGTGTTACCTTCTAATATTCGTAATTTTTTCATGTTTCTGCCACAATTTCTGACTGAATGAATCCCATTTTGACATTTTGGAGTTTATTTCATTTGGACGTACATCTCAAATCTACTTTCCCAACCAATATTCTCTTGGGGGTTACAAATTCAATAGCATACAAAAAATTCTTTTCTGACAACACTTGGGGCTATAGTAAATAAATGCCTATGTGGGCATGTATCTGTAAGATGGTTTCTACCCCAGGGTAGCTTAAATATTATTTTTTAGACAAATCAATTGATGAATGTGGTCAAAACCGAGATGGCTCTACTCCGAAAATTGAAAATTTTATGAGTAAAAAAGATGTCAAATAATGGCCAAAAAATGAAAAAAAAAATGGTCAAGACCCAAATAATAGCTTAAATCATTGATGGTTATAATAAAACGTGATCAGTTTATGCAAGAATGGTTTCTTCTCAACATACCAACATTTGGCGAAATTAGTATGAAAAAAAAAATATGGTAAAAATGTAAAATTTACGTGAAATCGGGTTGTATCCTTATACGGGCGTAATGACCTGCAAAAGCGAAGGATAGAAATCCTTTTCTTACTAAATATCCCATTGACTCTACTATTTTGCACCCTTTATATTCGGTATTTTACTGATTGATATATTTGTGTGTTTGTTTAAATATGTTCGCATCTTCCAGCTGAAGCACGATGTAGGACCTGGAGTTGAAAGCTAGATGCCAATTTTAGACATGAAATATCGCCATTTCATATCGTATTACAGACTCATTTAATTTTTGATTTTATTCATTCAGAATTCAAAACACTAAAAAATGTTCACTATAATAGAGTATGTCAAAGTAAAAAAAATCACGCGAAAAAGATTTTTTCATTCATATTATTATTAGCATATTTTTACGCGATTTCTTTTGCCAAGATACCATTCCAAAATTGAATTGTCAAAATCCGTCAAGTCGGTCTTGAGTTATAAGCGTAGTAATTAACATAACTTTCTTTAGGTCCTTTGGCCAATGGATAGTACTCTTCATAAGCTTACCATTGATGTGTATATTGGATTGGAAGAATTGTCCTGGAAGGTATATTGGACAATGGAACTTTCCTGTTCAGAGGATTTCTCCAGAAATGGTCAAATACCTCGGAATCTGTCGGATTGGCCCACAATTTTTATTATGCCAATGAATAGTACTATTCATAAGCTTTCCATTGATATGCATTTTGTATTGGAAGAATTGTTTTAAAACGTAGTTTATCTAATGCCAATGTCCTGTCACATATTGTGCAACTACAAGTTGGTGAGTACCCGTAGCAAGACAGCTTTTCATAAATTTTATAATTAAAGTAATAGTTATTGTTAATCATAAAAAATAAATTCTTTGATGACTAAACATTATAAAATAGAATTTTTAAAAAAATACTAGCTGGCCCAGTCCGCGTTGCCGGCCCGTACTTTTAGTCTTTAAAGCATAATAAATTACAGATCTGACTTATGTAGGCGGCACAATTTTGATTATAAGTAATGACTTGATTATGAGTAATACCTCCATGACTAAATATAAATTAATATTCATGGCAAAAATTATAATCACGGTCGGTTTTAAATATTTTGAATAGCCTGATCTTATTTTTCAGCTATAGGCTTTAATTTGAGTGTTAAATACCTATATGATAAAGAACATCTATAATATCCCCATGTGAAAATTCAGCTCAATTTTTGATATTGTAAAAAGCATTCAAATGAGCTATAATTTGAAATTTGTATTTCCAACGTTTAAAATCCCGTACTGCGTGGTATTCAGTTTTGTCCACCTCATACTTGAAGGCAGAATGTTGTCAGAATAGCCAAAAAAATTACTCTTTTGCTCCGATTACCGTAAGATGGACATTAGTTGTTTGTCATTTAAATTTTGCGGTGGAGATCCAATAAAGTTACTTTATAATTTCGTATTTTTTCATGTTTCTGCCACAATTTCCGACTGAATGAGTCCCAGATTGACATTTCGGAGTTTATTTCATATAGACGTACATCCCAAATCTACGTTCCCAACCAATGTTCTCTTGGGGGTTACAAATTCAATAGAATACCAAATTTTCTTTTCTGACCACACATTGGTTGGGAAAGTGGACTTGGGGGTATACTAATGTGGGGACTATACTTAAATAAATCCCTATGAGGATAATTATCTGTAAGATGATTTTCTACCCCAGGGTTTTTTAACCCAGATAGCCTCAAGACTAAGATGCGCGCTTTTCCGAAAAATAAAAATTTATAAGAAGAGGTTTTCTTCCCCCTTAGAAACAAAGATGTTAAATAAGGGCCAAAAAATGAAAAAAGTAACCAAGACCCCGAAAATACCTTAAATCATATGATGGTGATACCAAAACGTGATAATTTTTTGCAAAGATGGTTTCTTCTTAACTTATCAACATAAGCTAAAATTAGTACGAAAAATATGGTTAAAATGTAGAATATACTTGAAATCGGGTTGTTCCGTTATCAGGGGTTATGATCCATATCATGACCTGCCAAAGCGATTAAAGGTATCTTGAATGTTTAGGTAGAATTTCTATTTTGCGTTCTTTATAGTCGGTATTTGACTGATTGCAGTCCCAATGTATTTTGCATTTTGTGTTCCCATTTGACAATTTATTGAAAGAATTAGGTCCACTTTTTGAAATTAGCCCCATAACGCTTCTTTGGTCATTTTTGTTTGTTTAAATGTGTTCGCATCTTCCAGCTGAAGCACGATGTAGGTCCTGGAGTAGAAAGCATTTAACATCGTATTGCGCCCTCATTTCATTTTTAATATTATTCATTCAGAACTCAAACCAATAAAAAAATGTACACTTCAATATAGAAAAAAGAAAAAGAATCTTTAACTGGTTCGCTGATTTTTTTGCGACAAATTTTTAAAGGTCCTTACGAAGTTTGTCGGTAGAATGTACTATTATTTTGAAATTCGATTCCATTGAAAAATTGTAGATTTTTCCCGATTTTAGAATTTTCATATAAATCGACAACGGATAAAATTGTTATTTATAGATTTTATGTATTTATTGGGTATTACGAATAAATACATAAAATCTATAAAAAAAAACCTACACATCATATTAGAATTCCAAAAAAAAAAAAACTCTACAAATGTACATTCGAAAATAGTATGTCAAAATGGAAAAAAATATGCAATATAAAACATTACTATTGTACATTTTAAAAGTCAAAATGAAAATGTTCAAATTTCACATTTTTACGCGATTTTTTTGGATTTTATTCTTTTCTGCCAAGAGGCAATTCCGAATTTGTCTAAATCGTTAAAATCAGACCGGCGGTCTTTATGTTATAAGAGTAGTAACTAACACAACTTTCTTTTACATATAGAGAGATAGATTTAAAAGTAGGCGCGTTCCTCAGCCCCTAAATAAGTACTTAGGGTTGGATGGAAAGCCAACAGCATCTCGTGTAATAATTCTCAAACCAATATCTTCACTATTTTGCCAAATATAAAGATTTTAGATAAATCGTAATAGTGGGCGTAAAAGGAGGCGTGGTCAATTTTTTTTTTCTTTAAAAACCTAACTCGGGGTATGACGAACGTTTGTACAAAAAATTATGCAAATAGGTCCAACCGTTTCCAACTGATTCCGTTACCAACAAACAACAATGGATTTTTATATATATATAGATAAATTTTCTATGTGTTCTGTTAAGTTTAACATTGCTCTGTTAACAGAGTGGTTTATGTCTCCGCTAGATAAATACAGTATTTATCTTAATGGACCTACTTTCTTTTATATGATGAAAATCATTCTTTATTTTGTTCACAAAAAAACGAATAAAATGATAAGACAAAAATATGATACAAAAAAATATAATAAGCCAAATTTAATAACTAAAAATTGTTTTTTATATAAATTTTTCAGAAAAGAAAAAAATGGAAAAAAGAAAAAATCTTCAACTTGTTCGCTGGTTTTTACAACAAATGTTTAAAGGTCCATACGGAGTTTATTAAAATACCGTTTTATAGGGGCTATACGATGTCGTAGACCTATATAGCCCATCTTCGAATTTGATCTGCCTGCAGACAAACCTGATCTCTCTGTTCAAAATTTTAGCTTCCTATCTTAATTCGTTTAGGTAAATCGTCTTAGAATTTTACGCTGATTAAGAATATATATATATTTTGTTGGGTCTAAAATGATTATTTCGATGAGTTGCAAACGGAATGACGAACTCAATATACCCTCCATACTATGTATGGTGGAGTGTATAAAAAAACACTACAAATGTACATTCAAAAATAAAACATACGATTGTACATTTGTTGCGTGCGTACCGCGATTGACAAAGATTTTTTTTACTATCGGCTGAGCGAGGTTTTTACATTTGTAATTACCGTTCCAGCCGATCTCGAAAAAATGAATGAACCAGATACGGTTGGTTGTCAAAGTGCTGCCGATGTTCCCCTTAGTACATGGGACTAAGATCAAATGCAACCATGGGTGATGATAGGGTTCGCTAAGTGCGATCAAAGAGGAACATAATAAACAAGGGAGAACGAGAAATAAATGGAAAAGTGGGAAAATTGCGTCCAATGGCTGCCGTATAAAAGGGGTAACGGACAGAAAATTCGCCATTGAAGTTTTGGTGAAAATTAAAAAAGTGAACCCATTAAAACATAAAGAAAGTTGGAAGGAAAGTTTCCGTAAATTTTTATTTTATTGTCTGTTTGTTTTGTATGCGTATGTGTGACCAAAATTTTGTAAGTTTCTGTTGTTCTAATAGTGTATGTGTTTTTGGTGTTTCGATATTGTATTTCTTCTTTTTAAGACAACACCCAACGTAAAGACGGCTAGATATCTGACCCCTCCAAGTTTTCTGTGGAGGAGGTCAGCAGAATTTTATATAAAAAAGCGCAGCTGCCCAGAAAAGTCCGTGGTTGAGGCTAAGCCCCGGTACGCCTAAGTGCTGATATCCAAAGAGTGGTCGGTGATGTCGAGTCAGCATCACCATCTGCAAAGCAAAAAGAATACATAAGTATTTAATCACCAGGTAATAATTTGAATTATTTATACCTACCGAGTCCTAACCGGTTGTTGTGGCCAAGGGCAGGCGTATATCTTTCTCCAGCTACCTGAAAAAGAAAATTTGATTTAATAATTGAAGAATTTGTTCTAAAAATAAAAGGAATGACTCCAAAACTTCGCACTGACTAGTTTAGTTTGATGTAGTTATCTGTAGTTTAGGTGTGATTGTACGTAGTGTATAGAATTTACGTTAAGATTTAAAAATTGTGCAAGTTTCTAACGCCCGGTGATATACTTGAGCGTAGGGTTAAACCTTGCGTACGAAGGGAGAATTCCTGTTTATTAGTATTTTTGGACATATGATAACGTCCCCCCTTAACAGAGCTCTATTAGGGAGGGAGTAGATGCTTAAAGTGGCCAGATTGGCAAACATTTTTCATTCTCTTCGTATACTGTAGTAGCCCGAGCAATTGGCTCATATTAAAAAAAAAACCAGTAAAGAAAGTCTTACAATCGGGCGGGGCCGACTTTATGATACCCTACACCACTTTGCTAATTTAGTAGAGCTGCGCATAACAATTAAAAGTTTTTATGGGAGAATTCAATCATACACGCTATGATTATAATTGTAATTTAAAGTTCAAAAGACTAAATATGCCGAAGCATTTGTATCTTTTAAATTCGAACTTGTATTACCCATTTGGTGCACAATTAATTTGAAATCGGATAAAAATATATATGGGAGCTATATCCGAATCGGAACCGATTTCGATAAAATTTAGCAAAGGTATTTCTGAGCTGCATTTGATATATTTCCCCAAATATTGTTGTTACAGAGTGCATATTACGGCTGCGGAGGACAAAAATAACAAATCGGATGAACAATATATATGGGAGCTATAGCTATATCTGAACCGATTTCCATAAAATTTGGCATGCTTATTTTTAGGCCTAATTTGGTTGCATTTGCATACTCTTCCATACTATTCGGGCTGATATTACACGTTTGGTGCACAATAAAAGGCAAATCGGACGAAAATATATATGGGAGCTATATCTAAATTTTGACCGAGTATCTCCAATTTCAATAGAGGTCGTCCTTGGGCCAAACAAATGATTTGTGCAAAATTTCATCTGGATAGGGCAATAAATGCGAACTGTACTTTGTTTACAAAAATACATGGACAGACGGACGGACGGACATGCATAAATCGACTCAGAATGTGATTCTATGCAGATCATCAAAAGGAACTATGTGTCTATCTCGTTTCCTTTTGCCTGTTACAAACAAATGCACAAAGACATAATACCCTGACCACCTTGTGGTGTAGGGTATAAAAAGATTCAGGTATTAGGAATTTAAAAGTCAACGTTGTGCAAATATTTGATTGTTAGGATTAAGGCAAATCTAAATATGTTAATAAATTATCAATATGTGTAAATGTTAATAGTCAATAGTCAACTCTTGGGGGAATATAGGATGTAAATTGTGTGGTAAGTTTTAATGGAATGCGGGGCCCTTAAATATTTAAAAATTATTGGACAAAAGGGTCAAGGTTGGGTGGGCTAAGTGTGGGTGCAACTTCCACCAAGCACCCTTGTCACCGGTGTATGTAGTGTTTGTATTTTTGATTGTTTTGATGTTTGTAATACGTCCCCTTTTTTAATTGTTAGGCCCCTTGGACTGTTGGTGTCAGGGTTGGGACCGACCCTGAGCGAAAGGCTCCCCTGAGCAGCTGGATACCCACCACAGTACCGCATAACATATATATATATATATATATATATATATATATATATATATATATATATATATATATATATATATATATATATATATATATATATGTTATGCGGTACTGTGGTGGGTATCCAGCTGCTCAGGGGAGCCTTTCGCTCAGGGTCGGTCCCAACCCTGACACCAACAGTCCAAGGGGCCTAACAATTAAAAAAGGGGACATATTATATATATATATATATATATATATATATATATATATATATATTCCCATTACTTCGGCAAATATAAGGATTTTAGATAAATGGAAATAGTAGGCGTAAAACTCGAAAATGCTTTTGAGCTCTTCAAAATACCTCAAATCGGCCAAATTAGACCACATTTGGTCGACCAAAATTAAGAGATAATATTATATGAAAATAAATATATACCTTTTGTAACGTCAATCATTCTACGCATAATATACCTATACGCCTGTGTTTAAAAGACGCTTACTATATTTGACCTATATGTGACCTCTATCGGACATACGGGGTCCCTAACTTTTATAAACCGACTAGCTGAACCCGGCGCGCTTCGCTACCCCCTTTGATTTTATATGCATTCAAAATTTCATATACAAATATTTGTTGGATTAAAAAAAAAAAATAAAACAAATTGAAAACTCAAAAAAAAAAAACGTAATTATTGTAATACTTTAATCCGTAAATAAATAAATAACTCGGTCTACCAAGGCGTGAACATGACAGGAAAAGCTGATCATGAGAAAAGCAGAAACATGCCAAATTTAGTCCGCATACACTAAGTGTTTGTCCTTCGGATTTATTATTTCATAGCAAAAGCCAAACGTGCGGGAAACCCTAAACTTTAACCCTTAATTCCGTCACACCTTGCATATTTCATTGAAATCGGGGGTACATACCGTATTTGGTGCATCAAATATGTTAAAGAGGCCGAGATATATATTTCTAATTAATATGTCAAATTTATTATTGTAACCAAATTCCAATAGATATGTGCATACAAAATCTAAATTTTTGGGAGGTACCTCTGATTCTGATGCCATAGCTCCAGTTCCAAGTTGAATTTCAAAAATTTTTATAGCCTATGTAACTTTCAGGCGATGTTCTAATATACTTGGAAATTTTCAGCAGTTTTCGAGTCCATAAATTACAAACAAACATACAAACATTTTCCTCCTTTATAGATATAGGTTAAAAAGTAGGCGTTGTCAGTTCCTCAGCCACCCATTACCGTTAGATGGGAATTAATTTTTTTGTTATTGAAATTGTGCGTCGGAGACCAAATAATGTCAATTTAATTAATGTCCATCTTACGGTAATCGGAGCAAAAGAGTAATTTTTTTGGCTATTCTGACAACATTCTGCCTTCAAGTATGAGGTGGACAAAACTGAATACCACGCAGTACGGGATTTTAAACGTTGGAAATACAAATTTCAAATTATAGCTCATTTGAATGCTTTTTACAATATCAAAAATTGAGCTGAATTTTCACATGGGGATATTATAGATGTTCTTTATCATATAGGTATTTAACACTCAAATTAAAGCCTATAGCTGAAAAATAAGATCAGGCTAATCAAAATATTTAAAACCTACCGTGATTATAATTTTTGCCATGAATATTAATTTATATTTAGTCATGGAGGTATTACTCATAATCAAGTCATTACTTATAATCAAAATTGGAGTAATTATAATGGCGTCATTACTTATAATCAAAATTGTGCCGCCTACATAAGTCAGATCTGTAATTTATTATGCTTTAAAGACTAAAAGTACGGGCCGGCAACGCGGACTGGGCCAGCTAGTATTTTTTTAAAAATTCTATTTTATAATGTTTAGTCATCAAAGAATTTATTTTTTATGATAACAATAACTATTACTTTAATTATAAAATTTATGAAAAGCTGTCTTGCTACGGGTACTCACCAACTTGTAGTTGCACAATATGTGACAGGACATTGGCATTAGATAAACTACGTTTTAAAACAATTCTTCCAATACAAAATGCATATCAATGGAAAGCTTTGAATAGTACTATTCATTGGCATAATAAAAATTGTGGGCCAATCCGACAGATTCCGAGGTATTTGACCATTTCTGGAGAAATCCTCTGAACAGGAAAGTTCCATTGTCCAATATACCTTCCAGGACAATTCTTCCAATCCAATATACACATCAATGGTAAGCTTATGAAGAGTACTATCCATTGGCCAAAGGACCTAAAGAAAGTTATGTTAATTACTACGCTTATAACTCAAGACCGACTTGACGGATTTTGACAATTCAATTTTGGAATGGTATCTTGGCAAAAGAAATCGCGTAAAAATATGCCAATAATAATATGAAAGAAAAAATCTTTTTCGTGTGATTTTTTTAGTTTGACATACTATATTATAGTGAACATTTTTTAGTGTTTTGAATTCTGAATGAATAAAATCAAAAATTAAATGAGTCTGTAATACGATATGAAATGGCGATCTTTCATGTCTAAAATTGGCATCTAGCTTTCAACTCCAGGTCCTACATCGTGCTTCAGCTGGAAGATGCGAACACATTTAAACAAATACACAAATATATCAATCAGTAAAATACCGAATATATTATCATTGAAATATACTATGATGAAAAATATGGACTTTATGGAGTCTCCAAAGCACAATTAAAAGGACAAAAATAAAAAGTAATTATCTTTGACTATTCTGGAATCATTATGAATTATGAAGTGGACAAAAGTAAATACCACGCAGCACGGTATTTTAAACGTTGAAAACACAAATTCCAAATAACGGCCCATATGAATGGAAATTTTGCTAAGCTCTTTACAATGCCAAAAATTGAGGTGAGTTTTCACATGGGGTTATTATAGATGTTCTATATCATATAGGTTTTTAACACTCAAAAATAAATGAAAAATAAGATCAGGCTATTCCAGATATGTAACAACCGGACCGGGCCAACTAGTCTATATATATAAAAATCAATTGTTGCTCGTTGGTAATGGAATCAGTTGAGAACGGCTGGACCGATTTGCACAATTTTTTGTACAAACGTTCGTCATACCCCGAGTTGGGGTTTTAAGGAAAAAAATATAGACCATGCCTACTTTTACGCCTACTATCTTCATTTATCTAAAATCTTTATGTTTGCCAGATAATGAAGATATCGGCTTGAAAATTTTTGCACGAGATACTGTTGACTTTCCCTCCAACCCTATGGATTTATTTGGAGGCTGAGGAACTGACCACGCATACTTCTAATCTATATCTATATATATATAAAGAAGTTGTGTTAGTTACTACGCTTATAACTCAAGAACCGCTGATCTGATTTTAACGATTCAGACAAATTCTAAATTGTCTCTTGGGCGAAAAGGATACAATCCAAAACAAGGAAAAAAACATTAAGTTCGGCCGGGCCAAACTTTTAATACCCTCCACCTTAGTGTAAACGAAACATTAGAAGAAATGTGGCAAAAACCATTAAAATGCCGAATATCGGGAGGTACCGTTATATGGGGGCTATATCAAATCGTGGACCTATACATGCAATGTTTTGCCACAAGCACAGGGACTCGCTATGACCTACAAATACCAATTTTCAGACAAATCCGTGAAAAAATGTGGCATAAATCATCAATATACCCAATATCGGGAGGTACCGTTATATGGGAACTATACCAGAACGTGGACCGATATATCTCATTTTCAATACCAACCATCCTAGACACAATAAAAATTGTTCTTCTAAATTTTGGCGCGCTACGTCAAATAATGTGGGCTGTATTGTGATTTCAACAGACAGACAGACGGACAGACAGACGGACATCGTTGAATCGACTTAGAATTGCGTCAAAAAATACCAATAAAAATATGAATGAACAAAATCTTTTTGGCGTGACATTTTTAACAACCTATATAGAAGTGTAAATTTTTTATTGTTTTGAATTCTGAATTACTAATATCAAAAATGAACAAGTTAAAGAGCAGTAAGTTCGGCCGGGCCGAACTTTTAATACCCTCCACCATTTGCAACGAATTTGGAAATTTTCAAAAAATAAAATCCTTAAAAAATTCTGTTAAAATTTTAAAAATACCGAATATAGCCGTTATTTTGGGGTCTATACGACGTGGACATACATAGGCATTGTTTGTCATAAGCCATTACCATATTCAAATTCGAAATTTGTAATAAACGGTGAATAATGTAGCTAAAATCATCAAAATATCGTATATAAGGAGGTACCGTTATATGGGGGCTATATGAAGACCTGGACCCGCACAGACAATTTTCTGTCACAGACTGTAGTTCCCATAACGAACTTCAAATACCAATTTTAAAACAATTCCGGTGAATAATGTCGCTAAAATCATCAAAATACCGAATATAGGGAGGTACCCTTATATGGGGGCTATATGAAGACGTGGACCTGCACAGACAAATTTCTGTCTTAGGGTGTAGTATCCATTTTGAACTTCAAATACCAAATTTGAAACAATTCCCGTGAATAATGTCGCTAAAATCATCAAAATACCGAATATCGGGAGGTACCGTTATATGGGGGCTACACGAAGACGTGGACCTGCACGGATAATTTTCCGTCTTAGGGTGTAGTATCCATTTTGAACTTCAAATACCAAATTTGAAACAATTCCCGTGAATAATGTCGCTAAAATCGTCAAAATACCGAATATAGGGAGGTACCGTTATATGGGGGCTATATGAAAACGTGGACCTACATGGCCCATTTACGAACTTAACCTGCCTACTGGAAAAATAAACATGTGTGCAAAATTTTAGCCACCTATCTCAATTCATTCGAAAGATAGCGTGATTACAACAGACAGACAGACGGACAGACAGACGGACATCGCTAAATCGACTTAGAATTTTACGCTGATCAAGAATATGTATACTTTGTTGGGTCTGATATAAGTATTTCGAGGAGTTACAAACGGAATGACAAAGTTAATATACCCTCCATAGTATGGTGGAGGGTATAAAAAGTGTGCAATACCATATTAAATGGCGATCTTTCATGTCTAAAATTGCCATTTAGCTTTCGACTGGAAGATGTGAGTACATTTAAACAAACAAAAATGACCAAGCGTTATGGGGCTCATTTCAAAACGTGGACCTGATCAAAATGCACAATTCATTGAGACTCGATCGCTTTTGTAGGTCATGATATGGGTCATAACCCCGGATAAGGGTACAACCCGTATTTCATGTATATTTTACCTTTTTACCATATTTTCATACTAATTTCGGCAAATGTTGGTAATTTGGGAAGAAACCAACCTTGCAGTCAGTAATTGTGGCAGGAATGACAAAAATTACAAATATTAGAAAGAAACAGGTGCCGAACGTTTGTTTAATCGTCATTGAATTATACTAAGATGAAAAAAATTGACATTATTTGGTCTCCGACGCACAATTTCAATAACAAAAAAATTAATTCCCATCTAACGGTAATGGGTGGCTGAGGAACTGACAACGCCTACTTTTTAACCTATATCTATAAAGGCGGAAAATGTTTGTATGTTTGTTTGTAATTTATGGACTCGAAAACTGCTGAAAATTTCCAAGTATATTAGAACATCGCCTGAAAGTTACATAGGCTATAAAAATTTTTGAAATTCAACTTGGAACTGGAGCTATGGCATCAGAATCAGAGGTACCTCCCAAAAATTTAGATTTTGTATGCACATATCTATTGGAATTTGGTTACAATAATAAATTTGACATATTAATTAGAAATATATATCTCGGCCTCTTTAACATATTTGATGCACCAAATACGGTATGTACCCCCGATTTCAATGAAATATGCAAGGTGTGACGGAATTAAGGGTTAAAGTTTAGGGTTTCCCGCACGTTTGGCTTTTGCTATGAAATTAATAAATCCGAAGGACAAACACTTAGTGTATGCGGACTAAATTTGGCATGTTTCTGCTTTTCTCATGATCAGCTTTTCCTGTCATGTTCACGCCTTCGTAGACCGAGTTATTTATTTATTTACGGATTAAAGTATTACAATAATTACGTTTTTTTTTTTTTGAGTTTTCAATTTGTTTTATTTTTTTTTTTTTAAACCAACAAATATTTGTATATGAAATTTTGAATGCATATAAAATCAAAGGGGGTAGCGAAGCGCGCCGGGTTCAGCTAGTCGGTTTATAAAAGTTAGGGACCCCGTATGTCCGATAGAGGTCACATATAGGTCAAATATAGTAAGCGTCTTTTAAACACAGGCGTATAGGTATATTATTCGTAGAATGATTGACGTTACAAAAGGTATATATTTATTTTCATATAATATTATCTCTTAATTTTGGTCGACCAAATGTGGTCTAATTTGGCCGATTTGAGGTATTTTGAAGAGCTCAAAAGCATTTTCGAGTTTTACGCCTACTATTTCCATTTATCTAAAATCCTTATATTTGCCGAAGTAATGGGAATATATATATATATATATATATATATATATATATATATATATATATATGTTTGACCTATATGTGACCTCTATCGGACATACGGGGTCCCTAACTTTTATAAACCGACTAGCTGAACCCGGCGCGCTTCGCTACCCCCTTTGATTTTATATGCATTCAAAATTTCATATACAAATATTTGTTGGTTTAACAAAAAAAAAAATAAAACAAATTGAAAACTCAAAAAAAAAAAAAACGTAATTATTGTAATACTTTAATCCGTAAATAAATAAATAACTCGGTCTACCAAGGCGTGAACATGACAGGAAAAGCTGATCATGAGAAAAGCAGAAACATGCCAAATTTAGTCCGCATACACTAAGTGTTTGTCCTTCGGATTTATTAATTTCATAGCAAAAGCCAAACGTGCGGGAAACCCTAAACTTTAACCCTTAATTCCGTCACACCTTGCATATTTCATTGAAATCGGGGGTACATACCGTATTTGGTGCATCAAATATGTTAAAGAGGCCCAGATATATATTTCTAATTAATATGTCAAATTTATTATTGTAACCAAATTCCAATAGATATGTGCATACAAAATCTAAATTTTTGGGAGGTACCTCTGATTCTGATGCCATAGCTCCAGTTCCAAGTTGAATTTCAAAAATTTTTATAGCCTATGTAACTTTCAGGCGATGTTCTAATATACTTGGAAATTTTCAGCAGTTTTCGAGTCCATAAATTACAAACAAACATACAAACATTTTCCGCCTTTATAGATATAGGTTAAAAAGTAGGCGTTGTCAGTTCCTCAGCCACCCATTACCGTTAGATGGGAATTCATTTTTTTGT